TAGGGGGGTGAGGACTTGATCTTGATAATAGAGTGAATGTTGAAACCACAGGGTCATTTATGTGAAACCATCATAAGATAGTATATCAATGATACTTTAATAAAATAATAATAATAGTAGTAGTAGTAGTAGTAATAACAAAAATAAAAATAATAATAAATTATCTGGGCCTGAAGAGGGGCTTTAAAAGAAAATTGTCCCAAATTAGATCCAGGACAGAACTTTTTTTCTTTTTGAATGATTTAACTCACAACTTCCTTTTGGAAAGAAATTATGATTCCTGGTTCCTGGTCAAATGCTTAGAAAGTTTTCTGATAAATTTAAGATTATTTAGACTTTTTCTGGAAAACTAGTCACCCACCCATCCAAATGACTTCAGTACAGAGTCTTAGTGACCTTTTAAATCAAACATTCTTTTATTTTTGATCAAGTCTAATAATGATTATCTAACCACTCAGCATTTTAAATCTGGGACTATCAGAAGCTTTTCCCCTTATAGCAAAATTGTAATAAAGCTTTTAATTAAACAGTCCTAACTAAATTGTCTGAAATGTTTGCTTTAACACGGGGGTCAACTCTATGCCACCTAATTACCTTTAAGGAGAGCTTAACTTGCTTGTGAGAACAACAAAATTCAGACAAATTAATACAATTCATACTTACCAAGATGTTAGCTACTCCCCAAACACATTATTGAGCAATTCATCTTCAAGATGAAGCTTTTCAAAGACTGCTATATATGGGAATGATTAAGCTTCAAGTATCTTATATAATCAAAATGAAAGGTTGAGAGCCTCTGATTTTTTTCTACTCTTGGACTTTGATTTAGTCAGGACTAAAGAGGATATCAGGTTATACTGTAACCAGGAGCAAAGGGTACAAGACATAGACCTGAAGATGATAAATAAGGGTCAATGACATAGAAAGTCTCAAAAGTTATAGCTAAGATGAAAGTAGTGACTGCAGAATGTCTTTTCTTGGAGAAAGTACGTACTTTATTCCATTGTTTCACACCAACTTCTGCCCAAACTCCCAATATTTTACAAATATTCCTGAAATTCTTCTAGCAAAATATGTGTCTATAGAAAAAGGATTTGATCATTGAGATCATTTTACTTCAGTGTACAGATGACTTCCCTTTGGATACCCGCCCCTCTTTCCAACCATCTTATTGGAGGCATCAAATCAATGCTTAAGCACCAATAATGCTGGGCTAATTGCTCTACCTTTTCCAAAAATGCCCTCCCTAATTCTGTTTCCCTCCTCTGGGTTTATAAAAATTGACCACTAGAAAAAATACTCAGTTCTGTTGGTACCATAGTTTAATTCCTCCCCTGTTCTTGCACATTTAGATTTTTTTTTTTTACCACCATAAACAGTGTTGCAGTGAACATCCTTGCACATCTCTCTCTGCTCCCATGTGTTGTATTTCTTTACATCACCATTTTTAGATTTTGTTTTATATTCTATGAAGTTTTCTCTACTGAGAATAGATGTGTTATTTACTGGAGACTTGGCAGAATTATTGTTTAAGCTGAATTATTAAATTGGCTTCTGAGTGTTAAGTGATATTTGTGAAAATGAAGGTAAGAACAAACAGCTAGTTAAAGGCTTGTCTCCCCTGTTGGTGTCAGCTGACAATGGATGACCCACCCTAAGTAGCAGAATAGCCTGACCTGGAAATACAGAGCCGTCTCCACCATCCTGAAGCCTGTGCTGGCTCTCAGTCTAGCAGGTATCACACCTGCATTGTGGGAAGGCAGGGGACTGAAAAGCAGGAAGGTGTTTACCCTTAGGCCTTGGAGCTCAGGCAGGACCCTACCTAGCATCCTACCTGTGGTCTGAGATTAAAGTGCCCAGAGCTGAGGGGTCAGAACCCTGGACAGTTCAGCAGGTATTTCCCTACATTCCCCATCCATCCTTCTTTGGAAAAGAGGTCATACTAGGTTCTTACCTCCCTTCCTTTGTAGTCCTCTTTGAAGCTTACAAGGTTTGATAAGAAGAGTTCCAAGTGTCGCTCAAGATCATATGGCTGGTTGTAGCAAGAATGGACAGCCCTAGAAATTAATTGTTCTAATGTCACTGTATTCACTTATTCAGCAGTTATTGGGCACGAATGGTGTACATATTAATTACCAGTACAGGCTAAGGTTCTGTAACAAAGAGATCCCAAACACAGTGCCTAAAGTAATACTAAAGTTTACTTGTCTCACACTCCAGAGGTAGACCGCTGGTCCAGGACAGGTAGGCTGCTCTGCTCTGTGAGGTCATGCAGGCACCCAGACACCTTCTATCTTGCTGCCTGGGTCCATAGTTTTTCCTGTAAAAAGCCACATAATAAACACTTTAGTCTTCATGGGCCACACAATCATTGTCACAACTGCTCAATTCTGCTAATGTAGTGTAAAAGCAGACATAGACATCACATAAGCAAATGGGCATGACCGTGTTCCAATAAATCTTTATTTACAGAAATTGACTCATGGATTATAATTTAGTGATCTCTGCCCTTAGATGTCCTTTTTACCATTTTAGTTCTAGACAGAAGAAAGAAGTGGATGGGTTGAAGTTTTCCTTATTAAAATATGATCCATAAATAAAAATATTGTGGCATACTTACACAACAGAATACTATAAAACAAGAGTGGATGAACCACAGCTACACACAGATATGGATGAATACCACAAATATGTTGAGCAAAAGAAGCCAGATACAAGATTATATACTGATTTCACAAATACATAGAATATGAATAGGGAAAACTAATCTATGGTATTAAAAGTCAGGACAGTGGTTGTCTTTGTGGGCGATAGTGACTGGAAGTGGACATGACCTTTGGGTCTGGCCATGTTGTTTCTTGATCTGGATGGTGTTATGTTTCTACACACAGATTGTGTCCACATAAGAATATTCACTAAGACATAGCTTAACATATTTTCTGTACTTTTCTGTGTGTATGTGACACTTTAATAAAAAAAGTTTACATAATTGCAAAAGCTCCCTCAAAAATGTGATTCAGAAGTAGAACACTACTTCTTGCATCACCTGTCCTGGGGCAGGCTCTTCTTAAAGGGGACACAACCCCCTTTCAGGGCCCCATGACATTCCTCCAAGGCAGACAAGGTATGTTGTGGCCAAGGAGTCACTTTAAGAACCCTCACTGGAGTGACGATCCAACTCACAGCCTTTCTCTTCTGGTTATCCAATGGCCATTAGCTTTGAGCTGGCCGCCCAGCTTACCTCCTTGGCCATAATAACTGATCCAAACTGTGGGTATGTGTGACAGGCCAGGACAACTGTAGTCCTTCCCTAGGAATTGCCAAACTGCATCTGAGAAAAGGCACTCCTTTCCCTCCAGCTGTAAGGGTATGAGCCTGGATTTCCTGTGCTCTGGTCCAGCTTCCTGGAGATGGCCAGTCTGTGGGAACGATACCCAGAGAGGGGCAGGAAGAGGGCTAGAGAGAGAACTACAGATTTTCAAGCTCCAGTTTCCAGCTATACCTAAGGTCAGCCACACCCTGCTCTTCCCAGGTATATGAGCCAATAAATTCCTTTTGAATTCCCTTTGTGCTTAAGAGTGTTGAGCTCTTCTCTCTTGAAAATGATCCGCTGCCTTTCTCTCCAAAACGTACCCTGAATCTGACCCCTTCTCACCATCTCCAAAGCCACTCTCCTGGTCTAACTCACCACTCCCTCTTGCCTGGATGAATGACAGCCTTCCAATAGGTCTCTGCTTCTCTACTGCTCCCTTACAACCCATTCTCCACCCTGCAGGCCAAGTGATCTTAGATAAATGTCAATCAGATCGTGCCACTTCCTGCCTAAAACACTCCAGTGGCTTCTCATTACTTCCAAACTGCTTATCCTGTTCCTGTCTAACCTCCAACTTTATTTCATGCCACTTCCCCTCACCACTATGCTTCAGCTACATTGCGCTTTGTTTCTCAAACTCATGAAGCTCATGATTTCTTCAGTGCCTTTCCATCAGCTGTCCTAAGTCTTTGCATGATTAACTCCTCATTCCGTTTTTAGTACAGTAATATAATAATCATAGCTGCTGCCCCATCTCTTTCTGTTTTCATTTTGTTGTTGTTTAGATTATTCACAGAAATTGTCACTAGCTTAGAAATATCTTATTTATGCTTTTGCTTACTTTTTTATTGCTTCTTTATCCCGACTAGAGTGTGAGCTCCAGGAGAACAGGGTTCTGGCCTTATTTACCAATGTATCCACACAGCAGGTGTGCAAGTGATATTTATTGAATGAATAAATGAATGAATGAGTTACAAAACATGCTGGAGTTCCATGCAGGCCCCTAGGTTCCCTGGTGGGTCTCCTTTCCTCTGCACCATGCTGCTGTACACACTGTTGGCCAATGTTAACTCACAGAGAAACTGGCACCTGTCGCTTGAGCTGACTCAACCGTTTCCTCATTTGTGAAACAGGAACCCTGCTCCTTGCTGAGCCAACTCCAAGGGTTGCTGGAGACACAAGGAGCCGATGAGAGGGAAACCGCAGAGCCCAGCAAAGATCGGAACTGAATGGGTCTGGCCTGGTGCAGTAAGTACCTTGCTAGTGTTTCCCCACCAAGCTCTTCCGACAGATGCTGTTCAATCTGGCCTTCCTCCTCCTCTCTGGGTCACTCACACAGCTTCACTTGCCTTGCCTTCCCCCACCCCTATCTCTCCAAAGGTCTTATTTTATGAGCTTCCTGTAAGGAATTCATATGAGGCCATGACCTTCACTATGAGAAAGGATTGGCTATAAAAGGTTAGGCTTGGCTCCCTGTTTCAGGTTAAATATTGATAATACCAGGAAATAGAGGTCAGCGTGGGCACACCACACATGCCCCTGCAGTGGTGGAACCCCTGAACAGAGGGCCCTCCCCAGCCTAATCCCCTGGGCTGGCAAGTGAGTCTAGATACCTTCTCTTTACTTGAGGCCAATGTACAAGAAGGAAAGCACTGGGCTCCCGGTTCTTTCCCAGTGTGACAGTAGGGTGGAGCCTGTTTGCCACATGAGGCCACTCAGTCAAGAGGTCAGTCACTCCAGAGTGGAGGAGAAGGCTCTAGGCCTGGGCGTGTGCTCAGAGCAGAGGTACCAGGTGGGTCCAGCTGCCAGAGCTTCTGCAGCACTGCCCCCCAAGTGACAGCCGTGCAGGGCGTTCAGGTGCAAAGACCATCCGGTGCTCCTGTGAGAGGACGAGAAGGAGGACAGAGAAATCAGGGCTGCTCCCATCAGGCAGGCCCTAGGAGCCCAGGATCCGGGGTAAGTGTCTTCAACCTCCATGGGGATGGGTGGCCCGGGGTTTCTGGCAGGAATCACAGTCCTATGGCAGATGGCTAAGCCCTGTTTAAAATGTAGGAATCGCCCAGAGGGGCCTAAAGAGACACAGCAACTAAATACAATATTCTAGATGAGATCCTGGAATGGAAAAACACATTCATGGAAAAATGAAACCCAAATGAATCATGAAGTTTAGCTAATACAGTTTTTGAAAACAGAAATATGAATGTGATGCTCAATCTAGAAAGGCAACTGGGAAGTACTCTGAAGAAACCGCCCTTTGTTTCTGTGGCATCTGATGTCACCCAGGAAGGCTAACTCTTGGTTCTGGGCTTGTATCCATCTTGTCATTTTGTTTTTTTGTTGGTTGGTACATGTTTATTATAACAATATTAAGTATATTTAAAGCACACTTTCCACGTGAGCATCAACCCACATACAAATTTGTACACTTACCTGATTAGTTCCAGTTCCGCACCGACTTGGCTGCTGTAGCTTCAGAGTAAGTCTTGAAGGCGGGTGACGTCAGTCCTCTGACCTGGCTCTTCTCCAATATTGTGTTGCCTGTTGTGGGTTTTTTGCTTTGTCATATAAGCTTTAGAAGCAGTTTGTTGATATCCATAAAATAACTTGCCAGGATTTTGACTGGGTTTGCATTGCTTCTATAGATCAAGTTGGGAAGAACTGATGAACTGGTATCTTGATTAGTTCCATTAATTAAACATCCAAAATTGGAAGTGTCAGAATGTGGTCGGGGGGGGCCTTGAGGGCACCTCAGGGACCCTCTTGTTCTTCTGCCTTTGCCTCTGCTGTCGTTATTATCCCCATGACATGTTTTCATGACTCAAAACCCTTCTGGTTTTCTTTAAGTTTCTTTTATCTCCATTCCTGTTTTTCATCTTAACCCAGAGATAAATGCCCTAATGTGTTTAATGTGTGCCTTTAAAAATAAAAGCTTTTGTGAAATGTATGTTGTTGTTTTGTGTGCATATATTTAGAATTTTCATAAATGGTTTGGCGTGTCCCCTCATCATCACTGGGCATAGTTGCTTTGGGAGTCCATGTACTCAGGAGAATGAGAACACTATCATGGGGTACGTACCCTTACTTTAAATAATTTGCTCTCTAGAACACTGCCGTCTACAGTCCATCCGTCAGTGTATAACAGCCCCACTGACACACTGCATCATCCACCTTTCAAACTGCCAATCTAATAGATGTCAATAGATATTACTTTGTGTTTTAATTTCCTTATGATTACCAAAGAGTTTGAGCATTTTTTCATATGCTATATGCTTGCTAGCCTTTGCCAGCCTTTTATTTTGTAAACTGCCTGCATATATAACCTTTACCTATTGGTTAAGGTTTGTTTTTTCTTGTTAATTTGCTGGAATTCTCTATATATTCTAGGTATCAATTTCTTCTTGCTTTTAAGCATTTCACATATCCCAATAAGAAAGGTGTTTGTTACTTTATTGATGGTATTCTTTATTGAACAGATAAGTGTATTTTTGATATAATCAAATTCATTCATTTTTGTTGTTGTTATCAAATTATTTGAGCTTTTATGGTTTTAAAGAGTCTTACCCCAATCTATTAACGTTATATTTTTGTATTTGTTTTTGTTTTTGTTATTAAGTTGTATGAGTTCTTTATGTATTTTGGATATTAACCCCTTATCCAATATATGGTTTGCAAAAATTTCCTCCCATTTTGTAGTTTGTCCTTTCATTTTGTTCATTGTTTCTTTTGCTGTGTAGAAACTTGTGAGTTTGATGTGAACCCACTTGTCGATTTACACTTACTGGTTTTTCCTTCCTTAGAGCACTTGCTAGGACCTCCCAAGCTGTATTAAACTGTAATGGTCAAATTCAGTCAGCAAATTGTTGCTTTGTCATTCATCCTTAAGGGAATGCATTTAAACTTTCTCCATTAAAAATAATATTTTCTTTAGGATTAGTTAACCAAAATGCCTTTGCCAAATTGAAGAAGTTTCCAAGTTTCTAAGTTTTTATCATATACATCAATCATGACTTTTCACCTTGAGCCTATTAATGTGTTGAATTACACCGATATAGTTTGGAATGGCAAACTGTCCTTCCATTCCTGGTATTAAACTTAGTTGCTAATGATTTTCTTAATACATTGTTGAATTTGGTTAACTAATACTTTAGGATGTGCATCTACTTTCACAAGTGAATGGGCCTACCATTTCTTCTTGTACGGTCCTCATCTAATTTTAAGACAAATATTAAATGACCAGTGCAATTTGTGTTTATTTTTGGGGACAACTTGTTTAAAATAAGAATCTACTGCTTATTGAAAGCTTTTTTTTAGAACTCCTGATTAAAGCCATCTAGGCCTGGGCTTTACTGTCTGGAGAGAAGGACTTGGACCATCATTTCAATTTCTTTCTTATTAATCTCTAAGTTTCCAGTTTCTTCCTCATATAATTTTGGCATTTCATGTTTTTAAAGAAATTTATCCATTTCATCTAGATCACCAAGTTTATTAGCATAGATATATAAATACACTTCTATGTTTTAAAACTTCTGATCTATTTTGGTTCTATATTTTATTTGCATCTTCTCTTTTTCTGGATGAGTCTTGCCAGATTCATTTATTAATTTTATTTTAATTGGCTTTTGGTTTTGTTCATCATCTTCATTTTCACCCTCTATGTCATTGATTTCTGCCTCTATTTTATTATTTCCTCTTTTGTCCTTCAGAAGACCCAGTGATCTAGAGGGGAGAAATCTGTCTGGACAAAGTAGCCAGAGAAGAACCAGGTGAGGGGTCAATTTCCTGGTTTTTAGCCCAAAGCTCACCTCTCATGGCCGGTAACCCTCATGCCAGGACCCCAGAGTAGCTGGGAGGACCAGCTGCCACAGCCTGGCCCTGCACTGCAGCATAGACCTGGGCTGTCTAATACAGTGGTCACGATCCTCATGTGGCTACTGTACACTCAAAATGCGCTAGTCAGAACTGAGATATCCAAGAAGGGTAAAATTTACTCCCAATTTCAAAGACTTGGTACCAAAAAATGTAAAATATCTCAATGGTTTTTATATTGATTAAACGTTGAAATGATATTTTGGATGTACTGGACTCAACAAAATATGTTGTCAAAATTAATTTCACCTATTACGTTTTTTTTTTAATGTGGACAGTAGAAGATTTTATGCTAACTTGTGACAGTACAGGTAGTATAAGAATATGTGAAAATTTGTGACCGTTTCGTGACTGACAGAGGTTTGGTAAACACGGATGGGAACCTGCTTTGTTTTGCAGGGATGGGAACAGGCTCAAATCAAGGAAGGGGTTTATCCAGGAAGCATGGGTTCAGGTTCTTCCACTGCCAACAGCAGAAGGCAATTCTGATAACGTCCAAGAAAAGAAGTTATCTGGGGGTTACTGAACTGAGGGCAGCACTTACCAATCAGTCTAGGGATGGTGGTAGAGGAAAGCGAGATCTCTCGGCAATTAGCAGCAGGTGCTGCTGGCTCCGTTTCCCGGCGCTTCTCCTGTGCTCAGCTCTAGGTCGCAGACGGGCCAATCTCCAGGAGCGAGACTGTGATAGAGCCAGACTTCATCACGTGGGGAGACAGGGGCCTGTGATTGGCTACCACAAGAAATCAATAGCGAGGGTTGGGGCAATTTGCTACTAAGTGGGTTGGAGGAGTGCTGTGGGCTGTAATAGATGGATAATGATTATGGGCTGGCAAAAAAAAAGAGAGGTGTTCCCAGCAAAGGTCCCCCAACCATCAGCATCTGTCCTCTTTCCTTGGTCAGTGTTCGTCTCCTCACATGACGAGTTTTAATTAAGATTTGAGTGACTCCCACTTCTATGTCTCTGCCTCTCTAGGATTTACCTGCACGGGAGTTCTGGCTGTTTGAGTCCTGTAAGTTTTTGATAGAGGAGAGCTGAGTTTGAGCAGGTAGGGAGGTTGTATTGTGGGGGGCGGCTATCCGTCATGCCCTGTGCTTTTTTTCCAGGGGTCTTCGGGGCTTTGCTCAGGGCAGGAACCTAGGAGGCCAGGAGGCCAGCTGGTGGACCAAGGCGCCAAAGGGCTTTGTTGTCAGAAACGTATCCCAGCGGTGAGCAGGGGCATGGACCACAGTGAGGGGGTTACCCAAGCCTCAGCTGGCACTGTGGTGCCTCAGGAGCTGCTGGAAGAAATGCTTTGGTTTTTTCGGGTAGAAGATGGTAAGTGGTGGGAGATCGGTGGTGCGGTGGTAGGGTGCACTCCTCAACACAAAGGGGGGCATCTGGTTGAAGTCCCCTGACACGGTCCCCTCCTCTAAGGTAGGCTGCACCTTTCCTCCAAGCCAGGACTGAGGCTGAGGGGGGGTCCCAGTACACTTAGGGGTCTGGAGGAGCAGCACCCTGTTTTCCTCAGGGTGGGGTCATTTATTCTTCATCTGTCCAATCATTCACAAATATCGATTAAGTTCCTTCTGTGCACCAGGCACTGTTCTCAGCACTGGAGTTACAGTGGTGAATAAAACACAAACATCTTTGCCCTCATAGAACATATATTCTAGTGAAAGAGAGAAAATAAGTAAGACAAGCAGCTAAAATGCATAGTGTATTGGTGATGAGCTAATAAGTAGAAAAATTAAGAAGAGAGAGGAAATAAATAGTATACAGCAAGGGTAGGTAATGTGGTCAAGGAAGGCCTCACGAGAAGGTGACATCTGAATAAAGTCTTACAGGAGGTGAAATAATTTGCCATGAAGATTATGTAGGGGAAGAACATTCTGGTAGAGGGAAGAGCAAATATAAAAGCTCTGAGGCTGCATCCTGCCTCGTTTTGTCACAGTGTGGACAAGTCTTGATTATCCAAATTAGCCACTTTATGTATTTTCTGTTGGTAGTTGTTGAATCCAGTTTAACTACCACCACTTCCTCCTTCTCTCTGTCCATCCCTCCATTCTTCCCTCTCTCCTTCCCTCCTTCCTTCTGTCCTTTGTTGGACTGCCCAGGGCTGGCCCCTGGCAAACCCCCTCCCCCGCCTCTTATCCAGCTGCAGTGCTGCCCCGCATTAGATTGGGGCTCCACAGCAGAGATTATCTCCCCCCATGCCCCACACTGGGGTTACCTCAGAGCCGGGGTTCATCTTCACCTTCATAAGAATCTCTCTACAACACCTGGCCCCATAGTGGGGGACAGTTGATGCTGTGAGCTGGGTCTGAGCCCAAGACCCAATTGTTGGTGGATCCGAGGGGCCCCTGCCTCTCCTCATGCTCCGGCCTATGTGTCCCTCTGCAGCCTCTCCTTGGAATTATTCCATCTTTGCCCTGATGGCCATGGTGATCGTGATAAGCATGGTCCTCCTGGGAAGGAGCATCCAGGCAAACAAGTGAGGAGCTGGTCTGGGGTGGTCTCTGGAGGGTGGGGGCCCGCCCTCCCAAGGGGAGTCTAGGGAGAGGTCATCTAGGAGCCTTGGCTGTCCACCCACTGGGACAGCAAAACGTAGCCTTCAGGGTCCTCTGAAAACCCAAAGCTGTTGAGAAACTAGCAACTGCCCCTAATTACCACCTCCCTGGCCCTGGCTAGCAAGCAGGGCAGGGGCTCCCAGGTCTCAGAGGTCAGGGGCTCTGGCTCTGGCATCACACAGGCCTGGGTTCAAATCCCACCTCTGCCACTCGCCAGTGGGGCAAGACAGTCAGTACCTCCAAACCAGTTTCTCCTTCTATAATTGGTGATAATAACCCATTCCTTCCTTCTAGGACCGTGGGGTGCACTCAGTGAGGCTGTTGCAGACTTAGGGATGCTGTTTAGGGGAATGACTTGCCTTCTTCTAAGGCCAAATGCAGGACTCAGATAGAGACCTGAGATCAGTCCAGGCTCCAGGGGTAATTTTAACGTGTGGAACAGCAGTGCTCGTTTACCCTGGCTGCACAACACAAGTACTTGAGGAGGAATATTAGAAATACAGAATGTGGTGCTTCCCTTGAGTGATCCTGACACAAAGGGCCTGGGGTGGGACCTGAACACTGGCATTTCGTCAAACTCCCTGGATGATTCCAGGGCTGACTTTTGAGAGCTCCTGAGGGCAGGAGCCACATTTGACTCAACTTTGTTTTCCCAAGCAATTGATACAGAGTCTGGTCCTAGAAATCATCCAATAAATTCTTGGCTTACTCATCTCCATTCGTTCATTCATTCAGTCATCATTCTTTCATTCAACAATTACTGTATACCCATCAGTTATCAGTATCAGTAACTTTCCAACAATAATAATGAGAATCCCTCTCTCGCATCTGTATCATGTTTTATAATTTTGAAAGCATCTTCATATTCTCTTATTTGATCCTCAAGACCACCCTGTAATATGGGGCAGACATAGGCTATTTATTCCCATTGTACATAAAAAGGTCATTGAAGATCCATGGAAGGACTGGCCTAACCTCTATGCTCTTCTTTCTATGCTGTATTTTATATCATCTGTTAATCTTCTTACAGTTCTGCTATAAAGTAAAAAAGTAATAACCTCAGTGCCCTTTGTTCAGATTGAGAACTAGTCATTATGAACTGGTGTGGTAGTTTATCGCCCGTGCCACAGATAGGGGCTGAGCACCTGCTTTGTGCTGAGAGTGGAAGCGTAAGACAGAGTCGACCCCAACCTTCTGGAATTTCCGGTTTGGTAGGGAGACAATTGTAGTTCAGAGGGACAGCTGGTCAGTGCGGGACATGTAGAGTGTAGTGGGGACAGAGAGGTGGTATCTGGGGCCTGTGTGGCTGTGGAATATGAGCAGGGCAGGGTGGCGGGGTGCGGGGTGGGGAGAGAAGAGGCAGGGAGGACTCACAGAGTATACAGGCCCTGAGGGCCATCCTAAGGAGTTCAGGTTCTAGTTCAGGAGCATCAGAGGGCCAGGGAAAGGCTTTGCACAGGGTCATGAAAGATTAGTCTGGATGCAGAATATAGAAGGACCCACACGTGTGGAGCCTTGGACAGGTGACCTTACCTCTCTCACCTTCTTAGGAAACATCCGCCTCAGGAAGGGCAATTCAGAGACAAAGTGGTTGACCATGGGAGCCGCAGACACTGAACTGCTCCCCCTAAGGGCCAAGCAGATTCTCTAGGCTGTCAGCTATTAGAACAGCTGGGTCCTTCCCCTATGGCCAGAAAGGCTAGGGGTACCTTGAATAAAACCACCTCAGAGTGCGGACAGTTAGTGGAGTTATTGGTAGGAAGGCTGGCTCTTGAATGCCAGGTTAAGGAAGTGGGCAGTAGGGAGCCACTGAAGGTGCTTGAGCTAGGGAGTGATGTTTGCATGACTTCTTTGGTTTGGAGAAGTAAGTAAGCACCACAGGCAGGAAGATTAGTTAGGAATTCCCTGTGCTGGTTTGTCTGGGGATGGGCTGTGGGGTGACAAAGACCTAAATAGGATGTCAGTCCTGCGACAGAAAAAATGTGGTTGGGTAAAATGAACACAGAACTCAAGAGTCAGGAGACTTAAATGCATGTCCCAGTGCTTCTTTGGCTTCCTTGAGCCACATTCCACCTATTAGGGGAGGGTAACACTAACAGTGGAGCTCACAGATGGCTATGAGGATTTGGTGTGATCATGCACAGGCAGGTCTACGCTGTTTCTCTGTCTAAAGAACATCAAACATCTCAGCTTTCTCCCCTAGCAGTTCTCAGAACTGCCTACTGGATTTTCCCCTCAAGCCCTCTAATCTACTGGGAAAGCCAGTCCTGCCCCAGTGACTCAGCACCCTGCTCAGGGAACTCAGAATCAACGGTGTTTTCTCTCTTCCCAGAAATCAGAAGAAACTTGGGAAAAACAAACGAAAAGAACAAACTTCAGAAATCCAGTACTTGGCTGAAGCTGGAACCAAAGATAACAACAACCTGAACCTCTTAAGAGAGGCTTCGCCCTCAGAAAAGTCAGATTTGGCCCAGGCAGAAATTAAATTAAGAGAGAAAGGTGTGTCACTGGTTCTCCTTCCAGACCCACAAGAATCTGAGAGCTAGTGAGAGTTCAGAGCAGTGCCCCCATGTGGTCAGCAGAAAAATGAACGAACTGTCATCAAACCGAAATTCTGTTATGAACAAAAAAAAACCTTTTTATTAAAATGGTTTGGTAAGTGCGAGGTTGAAATTGCATAGTTTGTTCAAATGTTGGTGGTCCACACACAAACAGCTTGGAGCAAAAGCACAGAATCCATAGCCGGCCTGTGGATCAGGAAGCCTGTCTGGGACTCCTCACGCCGTGTGGAGGTCTTGAGCGTCCCTCTGACCTCAGCTTCTCCATCCACAGAGTGGAGATGAAGGCTGGGTTACGGCTGTTTTCAATCCAAACTCCTTGAACTTCCCAGAGGTGAAGGAGCAGGATTCTGGGCTCAGAATCCCCATCCCATCCCTTCCTCCCACCAGATCCCTCTCCTTTACCTGCTTCTCCTGAGGGTCTGTGAGAGACTCCCTTTGAGCCAGGGGCCCTGTGGTAAACAGTTAAAAAACAAGGCCTCCCTGCCTCTGAGGCCCTTGTCTTGATAACCATGGGATCCCAAGGGAGTGTCTTGATCCCATGTCTGAGCCACAGTGTTTTGGTATAAGCTGTGGTGCAACTCCAAATAAGTTATGTAAAAATTCACTGTAAGAACTGAAAATGCTTCAGGTTCTATCTTACAAACGTGGACTTTAAAACTGAGACCCATTGCCAAAGGTACAGGATCCTGCTGGGCCAGACTACAAACTATACTGTGCTTCTGCCTATGAGCCAGGGGCAGGCTGATGGTGCCCACTGGGTGTCTGATACCACCAGCTGGGCTCCCTGAAGTCCTGGGTGACAGTCACCAGAGAGAATGACCTTATTCTGCAGATTTGATCATTAAACTTGAAGAAGCTGGTCTTGGAGGTCTATGCACAGAACCCTTAATTTAAGGGCGGGAATAAGAGGGACCTGCATCCTGATGAAAAATGCTAGAGCCTCCCTACACTGGACAACCCACAGCCCCCTTCCTTCTCCCCTCATTGAGAGGCAAAGGGCTTCCTGGGACTCGGTGCTTTTCACAGCCTGTCCCATAGTTAGTTAAACTAGATTTTACTTGGATAAACTGCAGGGTTAGTGGCCTGGGGCTTCTGTGAGGTCAGAAGACAAGGGGAGGGCCTGGCTCCAGCCTTCTGAAACCTGCAGCCGCCCTGCCTTTCCCATCTGCCAGGTGGTGCCAGGACCTCAGAGCTGGTGCAACTGCAGGGTGTTCCCAGGCCTGCACGGAGGCAGGGCCTCCGGGCGCTGTCCACCCAGAGCTGTCCACAAGGGCTGTCTATCGGGCCTGGCCTCGCTGGAGCAGGAAGGGTGATGGCCCCACACTGCAGTCTCCTTCCACCTCAGGCTGACCCCAGCTCTCTGGGTTTAGCTGCGGCTGTTTCCCTTCAGGGTTGGGAATGCAGTGGTTACCATGGAAACCAAGGCCCGGAGTGCACTCTTGCCTGTCCCTGTCCCTCGCACAGTTTGCTGGGTGTTGGGGGCACTGTTCGGTGCTAGTAGTGGGGTCCGCCTTCCGGGGTGCAGGGGTACTGTTCCATCAGAGGGAAAGCTGGTGGCCGGAAGCCACCCCTGTGCTGCAGCCCTGCCCAGCTGCCCGCCTGGGATCCTGTGTTGGGCCTCAGAAGATCTTAAAGCCTTTCAACAGGGTCAAGGTGGGCGCCTTGCGCTTGCTCTGGGCCCGGGATGACTTCACAGTGACCAGCTTGGCCTGAGCCACAGCGGGCATCTCCTTCAGGTTCACAGTGGAAAGAGTGTTGAAGGTGCAGCTGGCCAGCCCGTGCCGGGCAGTGAGTGGGGCCTGGTGGGGCAGGGCCCTTTCCTCGGAGATGAAGAAAGGCCGGGCCAGGGAGTTCTTCTCCAGCTCCCGGCGTGCCTCCCGCACGGCCTCATGGAAGACATGCTGCACAAGCTCGAAGTCCAGGCAGGCAGAGACCTCAAAAAACAGGCACCCAAACCTGCCCGCCAAGGCCACACCCTCGGCCTCAGTGACTTGCCTGGTGGGGAAGAAGGTGATGCAGGGTCAGGAGCACATACCTGAGTCAGTCAGCCTTGGGCCTGTACTTGACCCCAAACTTACTAGCTTGGTAACCTGGGGTCATCATCACTCTGAGGCTCAGTTTCCTCTTAGGTAACTGGGATAACATCTGCCTCTCAGAGCTGTTAAAACGATTAGGAAAGACAATTTGTGTTGGGTGCCTAGGACAGTGCCTGGCACAGAGTCAATGCTCAGTAAATGGTGGCTGATGTCACGAAAGTCATAATTTAGGAACGAGGCTGAGGGTCAGGGGGAAGCTGGACCAAAGAAAGTCCCTGCCTAGGCCCCACCGGTGTCAGAGGAAGGCAGTCATTCTCAGCCCCATCTTTCCTCTTCTCCAGCATGGGCCCCTTGGGCAGGAAACGAACACCCTCAGACCTGGAGAAAGGCAGCAGTGTGGACTGAAGGGCGTGAGCCCACAGTGTCTGACAGCGCCTGTGGTTGGCAGCGCTCTCCCGGCTCATGGGGAGGGGCAAGAGACAGCAAGGGTGACACTTTATGGGGAGGTGGGGGGAAAGCAGAGAGAGCACCTACTTTCAGCTTCATCCTATATAACCTCCTGTCATGGTGGGACTGAATATTTGTAACTGGGAAGGTGCTGGAAACTTCTGACCTGAAAGCCATAGGAATCAAGGTAAGAGGAAAAAGAGGAAAGAAAACTGGTCCTTGGAGATGCCAGGTTTCCAGAGAAGGAAGGAACAGGGGCTCCTGGAGGTCCATTAAGGCTGAATCTTCTGACCGCCCTCCACTGCTGACTGCCCCAACTGCCATTCCTGAGGACAAGGGCACAGTCCTCAAGAGGAGAGGAGACACTGGGGTCGGTACCAGTGGGAAGAGGTTTCTGAGCCAAGGTTAATTTGGCAGGAGCGAGGAGTGGACCAGCTGCCCAGGAGAGACGCCCTATCAGACAGAGAGAATGACGGGGACAAGAAGGGGCAGAGCATCTAATCCACTCCCCACCCAGGGCTGGTGTTCTGTCTGTAAGTTTATTGCTTCCTGAGGAACCCCTTTGAAAGAGTGCTTGGTATTATTTGCTTTCCTAATGAACTTTGTCACTGTGGGGGTTTGAATAATGAATTTGTAGAAACCAGGACCCCATGCATCCATACATGCACAGAAGTGCATGAATGGGCAACATAAGCATGAAACATTATTCTTTTTATTCTTATTCACTTGCAACCTAGAGAAAATCTTATCAGGGATTTGGGAACTACTGCTCTAACCCACATTTTACCTTTTTAGCTGCAAGACACTCATGAGAGATACTGACCAATGCTCAGCTAAGTTAGAGTTACTGTGCCCATCAAATACCAAGCCACTAACCTTGGAACCTGATCAAAGAAGGAAAGGGGATAAATTGTCATGATTTGCTCTCAGGGAACTGATGCTGCTTCATTTAACCCCCATATTCCTTGTTATTTGCTCCCAAGGGATTTTACACAATCCCTTTAGCAAAGATTGGGATCCAAACAGTAATCTAGTTTTTTCCTCAGACTGAAAACTGATTTATCATCATCTAGTCTTCTGACCCCGCTTTCATGCTCTGTGGGTTCTGTGATTCCTCAAAGACCACCTTTTGGCTTTAGGATCACACGACTTCCCTCACTGCCTATGACGGACTTTGTCAGGGTCTGGGGGCTTGACCACCTTTGAAGGCCCTTACAATGTTCCCCCTTCATGAGTTGTACCCTCTTTTCCCACTGCCCATCTGACCTGCTCTATAGCAAGGGTCCCTTCCTTCTAATACAGCCAGTGGGACTTTGGGCCCTGGGAGTGACCGGCCATGAGCAGGGAGGGACGGGCGGAAGGCAGGTGGAATGGCCACATAGGATGAATGTCAGTGTTGGAGAAGGCCACGAGGATTGCTCATCGAGTGGAGGCATCACAGGCTCAGATGCCTTGGGGCCAAACAACTTAAACATGTGGAATGGGTGGAGGTAAGCCATGAGGAATGGTGAGGCCTGTGGACACCTGGAGACAGCATGCCCCAAGCTGAGCTGCCAGAGAGTGTTCAGGTCTTTTAAAATACTGTGTAGGCAAGCAAAATATGGCAGCAGTGTTTAGTGGTAATATGCCCCTGGCCCCGTTGTGACCTCTGATTCAAGTCCAGCCCTTTGTGAGAGAACCAGTCCTCAGCACAGCCAACTGTGGGAGTGAGCCTGGGTCCGCATGTGGCCGAGGCGAGAGCTGGTTGGACGAGAGCAGACACCTGACCTAAGGAGTCAAACAGAGCCTCTCTCCCCAGAATTAGAATCTGGGCACTGGATAACCAAATAGCTGTGATGAGTAGGAATGGAAGACTCAGGCAAGAAAGGGTGAGGCGGAGGATGGAAGGGTGGCCCCCCTTCTGACTGGGGTCCAGCCCCTGTGCACCCCAGATGCCCTTCCCTTCTCACCCACGGCTGCCTGGAAGCCCGTGCCCACTTACCCTTACAACACAGCGTCTTTCACCTGAATTCAAGGGGATTACTCGTCTCAGTCGCCAAATAATCCCTAAAGATGATACCCAGGCTTTACACGTGAGGAAAGTGAGCTCTGGAGACGCGGGACAGACTTCCTGTGCTCACCTGTACTGGGCCATGTCCAGCTTGTTGCCCAGCAGCAGAGCAGGGGGCCCACGCTGCGTCTCCTTCGCGTGCGAAGCGAGCAGCTCTAGGTAGCTGCTGCTGCCCTCAAAGCTCTGGCGGCTGTCGACGCTGTACACCACCAGGAAGGCATGTGCCCAGTTTAGGTAGCGCTCACAGTTCCTGGGGGTGTCCTGGGGTGGGAGGGGGGCCTTGGTCAGAGACTTCACCTGAGCTGGCCCATCCCGACCCCCCTGCTCCCTGGATCTTTGTATATTGTTCCCCAACAGAGCCCTTTTCAGTGGGACACTTGAGTGTGGATTTGGCTTGGTGTGAAAAGAAACATTGTTTCATGAGCCTCACTCCCACCACCCAGCCAGAGACTTGAAGACCTTGGCCTCTGGGGCCTGGAGCCAGGACTCTGGCAGAGCCCCTACAGAGATATGGCTGTCCCTGGGCACCCGCGGTTTAGGGTCATGCTCATGGCTTTGAACCTTTGGC